GTAAGCAACAATTGGAAACATCGCCTAGTAAGTTGAAACAATTTTTCGCTCCGTGATTTCAGATAAACCAGCGCGTCGTTCACTGATCGAATTTCGTGATTGCAGAAAGCACATAAAACTCTTTGGTAACAAAATGCATATGCATATCGTGTTACATGTGAACATAATTCCTAATATAACTCGGCTAGAAATTCGTTTTTGCACTTTGCATCTTAAAAATATAGTTTAGGGACCCGAGAAATATTGTAACTAATGTTAGCTATTTTGATCGAGATTCATCGCATTTTGGAGTCTGATTTGGGGGGTTTGAAATTTTTGCTTTAGAATATCACCCGTGAATAACCTTGCAGAACCTAAATTCCAAATAAGAGTGCCTCACGTAAGTGTGACATATAGATATCTCCATGAGATATCTCCATGTTTGGAAAGTAAATGGAAACTTCATCCCTTTGCGCGTGTTTTGACTGATAATTCGTTCATAAACTCGCGAAATAAGTACGTAATATTTCTTCATATTATTTCTGAGCAAATTTCCAACTCAATACTAAATAGTTTGAGTCTATCTCGAGTTTCGAAAATATTTAATTTGCTTCGCAAAGCACTGCATGTAAACAGCATAATTTTGAGACCGACTGCACTTCGTTTGAGACCGACTGGATCATTTCTCTGGGGGGGTGAACCACCCCCCTACACCCCCCCACATTTACGCCCCTGAGTGAATTTTATGTGAGGGTCAATAGAATTGAGTGTGTTGTGAAAGCTAGTGACTGCGTTCTTATTTATAATGGCAAAACTGTCGTCAACAAATCTTTTCCAAGTCTTAGGTGGTGTTATAGCAGATTGAATTGCTTGCTCTTCAATCACTGCCATGCATAAATTTGCAACGATAGCACTGACAGGACTGCCCATGGCACATCCATGAATTTGCTTGTATATTAAGTCGTTGTAAATAAAGTAACTGTTAGATAAAACAAATTCCAAGAGTCGTAAGATTATATCGTCAATGTCTAGTTGCGTTCTATCAGATAATGTATTGTCATTTATAAGTTTAGTTCTGATGTATGTGCATGCTTTGTCAACTGGAATAGCGGTGAAGAGAGATACAACGTCAAACGACACCATAGTCTCATCTTCTGAAATAGTAATCGTAGATATTTCGTTCCTAAATTGCATGGAGTTAGTTACTGAGAAACGATTCTGGTTTTGCAAAGGAGAAAGAATTTGAGAAAGGAATTTAGAAGTGTTGTATAATGCAGAATCTATAGAAGTGACAGTAGGTCTGAGTGGATGGTTAACTTTGTGGTGTTTGATGGAACCTCTGATTGCTGGTGGAATTGCATCGCTTGAGTGTAACTTACGATAGGTTCTATCCGGGAGTTTTCCTTGATTCTTTAAACCAAGAAGCATGGCATTTAACTCTCGCACGATTTTCTTGAAAGGTGGTTTGCGTACAACAGTGTAGGTGGACTTATCTTGTAAAAGGTTTTCCATTTTCTAATCGTAATCGCTTCGATCCAAGATGACTAAACTGTTCCCCTTGTCTGCTTTCATAACGATTCTATTGGCATCTTTCTTTAGGTTCCTTAGAGCCTGACTTTCTTGATTGTTGATATTCTTATGTTGTGGGAGACGTGCTCGATCTAGGATGTTGGCTGTGTTAGTGCGAATAATATCTTTCGTTTCATCAGGGAGCTCGCGTATCGCAGCTTCGACTTCGGAGATGATATTCTTATAGGGGATACTAGCCGGGGTGATTGCGAACTTCGGGCCTTTTTCAAGTAATGAGCGTTCGGCGTTTGTAAGAGGTTTTTTCGACAGATTAATCACCCAGTTGGAACGATCAATGTTCGTATCTTCGTTGTAATCCTTTTTCATATGGTCAAATTTCTTCTTGTGTCTTATGTTGATGGCATCTCGGACGCTTATAAGCACGTTGTTTCAGGAATACATTTAACGAATTAAATGTCTGCTCGGGTAGGATAGAAGCCAGTTCACGTGTCGTTGTATATATTCGTTTCTTGACAAAATTGATTCGTTCGAGACAAATAGAAATTCTAGCTCTCATACATAATTGCACATACACATACGTCACGTTTAGTTTCAATTTACATGTATATTATATAGTTTTAGCGTCCTTGTATCATATTGTATATACACCCGTTGAAGGCTACAGACTGGTAGCCGAAAGCTTGTGATTAATAAATATATTAACCAGAAAACGTCTCATCTTTTCATTATGTCTAATCCTGGTTACACATCTAAGATTTTTAAGATTAATTACCATTAATTAATCTTTACACTTTTAGTATAGAAAGATATTTTAACGGGGGCTGGCATGTATTATAGGCAGAGTTGTTAACGAGTCCTATGTTGCAAGTCCAAGTCAAGTCACAAGTCATTTCCTGCAAGTCCAAGTCAAGTCAAGTCACAAGTCATTTGGCTGAGTTCAAGTCAAGTCACAAGTCATTTTGTGTAAATCCAAGTCAAGTCACAAGTCATTCCGAGTGGCAAGTCAATTCAAGTCAAGTCACAAGTCATTTTATCGCCACATGTGGCTATGTTTTCCCACGCAAAATATGTAAATATGCGTCGTAATTTTATGTCAGAAATTTTACCACAAAGTCGCGAAAAAAACTCGCTTTGTCAGAAAATACGCCGGCACAAATTCTGTCGATGCCATTGATATGTACTAAGGTCGTTGCCCAATTTGTACAACACAACGATCGATCGATCAACACAAAGATTTTGGAAAACTTAATTTTCACTAGATATTTACGTTTGACTTGCGTTGGTAACAAGTCATTTCTTGCAAGTCCAAGTCAAGTCACAAGTCATTTTGTCCAAGTCCAAGTCAAGTCACAAGTCATCAGTCTCCTTAACAAGTCAAGTCACAAGTCACAAAAATTGCGACTCGAGTCCGACTCGAGTCCAAGTCACACGACTCGAGTCTACAACTCTGATTATAGGATGTCGTTCCACAAACCGTCATGTTTATTCCTTGTTCACCGATAACTGCCAAATACGAAAGCTAGTAATACAAAATAATTATATTTCCGGCGTGCAATCATGCAAACAAGGCTATTAACGGCGGAATTGATTATAATCACAAAATGGAATGTTAACGAAATTGAACTGTTAAAATCTACTTGAAATAGTTGAGTGTGTAATTTGTGCCACAATGGTATAAGTGCCTCTTATACAGACCTTTCTGTACATTTGACATATATAAGAGTTCTTTGAGAGTTCTTTGAGACCCAACCAAACACACTCGATGTCCAAGGAAAACAGTTTGCAACTGATAGAGCTATTCACTATAACCAGTCTATAAAGTTATAGATTGCTTTTTTCTAGTGTCGTAACACTAAATCCATATTGGTGAGAACAGCAGTTTAGTAGTGAAAGAGCTACTGTATCCATGATCAGCATTGTTCTTTTGTTGTAACACTAAAACGTTAAGCGATGACCCTTACTGGACCTCTGGGAGAACATTGATAGAGTTATCCAGTAAAAAAAGAAAGTTATAGTCTAGTTTAATTAGTGTCTCTTTAACTGGACCTCAACGAAGAACAATTTAATCACTGATTAGAGGGGGTGAAATTCTAAAACCAAATCATGAATGTTGACGTTATGCAAAACTAACAGTGAAAGTAGACTATGCAAAAATAACAGTGGTGGAGAAACGGCAAATACAAGATATAAATAAGTACCCTCTAATACACCACGTAAATTTATTACTGCAAAAATATAATAAATCAATTGAATCCATATTTTAATTAGGTTTCCCCCTGTATAGTTAATGGCCACTAGGCCTCTGTATTGTGAGACCACGAGTCTACAACTAATCAAGATTATGATCCAGAATAAATAAATTTAGTTTCAATTTCGTTTAATTTAATAGCTTATGTGCTGCCGTGCGAACATCGATTTTGATCACATTTTTGTCGTATCTTAAGGTGGCTCGCTATATCGATACACACAGGAATCGCGATAACAAAACGTTATGCTATATGACCAAACCCATGTGACCATTCATGTCTCCAAGAATATTAACGAAAGGACTTACATATATATGACCTGACGTAGGGCCTTACTCACGCCATCTCGCGCCTTTGTACGTGTTTATAACACGTCATTAGAAATATCAATTTTGGAACATATACCGTATTTACTCATTTGAGCGCCGCCCCCGATTGAGCGCCGCCCCCGAATGAGCGCCGCATTTGAGATCAAATTTTTTTAAAGAACGCCGCCGCCGAAAGAGTGCCGCATTAATTATTTTCCTGCGATTGCCTCTTTCAAAGCAACGAATTTACGTCTTCTGATATCGGGGAGACATCTCCAACAATGGTTACGATGCAGCAGTTGGACTCGGATCATGAAGAGGACAGTGACATTGATATTTTGTAAACTTGTAAGCAGTGTAAAAACTTTCCGCCGTCAAAATGGGGACATTTTGTGACAAAAACATTTAAAACTTGTTTATTTTATTGTTAAACGTTCTTGTCATAATTCACAAACAAAATATTTTTTTAAAGAGCGCCGCCCCCGATTGAGCGCCGCCCCCAAATGAGCGCCGCATCTGAAGCTCTGAAAATTTAAAGAGCGCCGCGGCGCTCAAACGAGTAAATACGGTATGCTATATCTTCGCATTATTTTGTCTAAACTTATGAAAACTGTATCGAGCCACCTTAAACAGAAAACATTGTTTTCAGCATCGATCGTATAAGTTTTAAAATGATATTCAGCATAACATGCTGAAATTATGTGTTTCACATGTTCCAAATTCACATGTGAAATTTCACACATGTGAAATCATGTGGAATTTTTGTAAGGGGGGTTTGTCCGGTCATTTTTTCGAATTAGTTGAAGGAAAGGCGCCACCTGCTGGAATTGCGGGAAAACTCAAAAAACATGATATCAAAGTTTACAATAAGCCAGAGAAAACCCTCGAACGCCAGTTCCCATCTGCAAAACAGAAACCACCAATAGAAGAACAAAACAACGTGGTTTACCAGACACTGTGTCAAGATTGCAGTTGGAGCTACATAGGCGAAACAGGAAGATCCCTGAAGACGAAAAAGTCCGAACACATAAGAAATATGAAACAAAGCAAGAAGGGGTCAAACGTCGCAAAACACGCATGAACTCAAGATCATGTAATTGACTTTGCCAATGTCAAAGTGGTAGACAAGGGAAATCATAGGAACCTTAAAACCTTAGACTCCTCGCACATTGCATTAACAGACGAAGCTGATAATAACTCTAATACGCTTCCAGCACAATACACAATACTTTTAACAAAGGAACTCAAGAAGCATTAATTAAATATTCACATTCCCCATTTGTAACATAGCATAGATATTCTCAGATTTCACCTACTTAAGTTTAGCGTCCTTTATAGAATCATTTGTATACACCCGTCGAAGGCTATAGACATTAGACACTAAGTCAGAGAACGTCCAATAAATAATGATAAAGCAATATTTTAATGGAAACAAGAACGATTACGATTTCCTCGCGCCAGGACGCACGCGGTCAAATCTCGTACTCGTAGTTGCTGCTAAAGCTCTCCATGCAGTAACTCTTGAGACACTCCATATATTGTTAATCGCTTGCACGTTATTAGTAACGGGTCGGAGGTTACCACCCTCGCCCGCCGCCTTCGGCCTTACAGGCGGGACAAGGGGGAAATTCAGTGGACTTACTGTATAAAATCCTTTGATATCATTGTCAGACGCTTTATCCTCTCCAAACTGGCTACCATATGTCCATATTCCTCCCCAGTCCTTCCCATTGAAACACAGGTATTGTGATATTTCATTTGAGAACCAACATGAGCTCTGGCAGAGCCGTGAAATTCTCTCGCCCCAGTTTCTTGTAATATCTCTGCTAAATTATCTTCATTAATACCTCCTCCTAATGGATGATGAAATATAAAAAAATTATATATAATATATATATATATATATATATATATATATATATATATATATATATATATATATATATATATAATATATATATATATATAATATATATAATATATATATAATATATATAATATATATATAATATATATAATATATATAATATATATAATCAACTGGTTTTCTCATGTGTCCCCGATTTCACATGATTGAATTACCACGTCCCCTGAACAGAAATTGCCCACTGAAGTCTATCAAAAACACGAATTTCGAAATAGTTAGTAAAATAGTAAATGATTTAAATTTTAAATAATAGATAGAAAGTCAAGCAAACATGTTTATAGTACAAACTATTGTATTCAACTATTGTATTCAACTATTGTTTTCTGTCCTAGACCAGTTTGTGTCCCCTAGGAATTTGCCAAATGTCCCCTCTCGGGGACATGTCCCCCAAGTTGAAAACCGTTTATATATATATATATATATATAGGCATCTTTATTACTAAATAGTTTCGTACCACAGTATGTGGCACTCTTCATTGACGTAATAATTAATTGACCTATTAATTAAGCCAGTATAGGCTTACGTTATAATTTCATGTGAAATTTTTTCACATGTTAAATTTCACATAAGATCACATAATTTCACATGTTATCACATGATTTCACATCAAATCACATGCATGTGTGAATTCATCTGGATTTTTTGTATGGATGCATAGGTCAATTTATCTGAAGAGTGCCACATACTGTGGTACGAAACTATTTAGTAATAAAGATGCCTAGTGGATTTTGTTGATTTGTTGTACCTTAATTTATATATATATATATATATATAAACAAAATTGTTTAAATTGTTTAAACTAATAGATTACTTGCCTGGCATAATGATAATCCGTCTTCCAGCCTGCGCAACGAGAAAATATTTTATAATGACTTTTTACTAATTGGTTCACTCAATTAAAGCATATGCTCGGGCGGCAAAATCGAACACCAGTGCACTGGGCGAATATCTCTCGCTGAGTTTTATGGAAAACAATGTCGACGCTACCTAATGGCTTACGTCGCTGTTACATCCTGCAATTTACCTTGTATTTTGATGTCATTTATGTTGGAAACAAAACTGCAAGAATGTCATTCAACATTTTAACTGAGGGAAATTTGCATAATAAAACCATGGGGGAAAATGGAAGCCTGTTTTACTATATACAAAGATTACTGCAACAAAAATGAATGTATTCTACCTTGCAAATATGTTCAGGCATAACAGTTACTATAGAATACCCTACCACACCAAGCTGTGATTTGCTACCAATTTGGCTGCGTATAGCTAAATATACTAGCTACTTCGCTACATGGCCATAACTCCACTCGATAGCCTTAAATTCCAGCCCTAAAGCCGACCATAACCCCCTACCTAACCTTAACACCATACACCTTAACTCATTACCAGTAGCCAAACCCAAATCCAATCAAACCTTTCTATAGTATCGACTATGTAAATACACATTAAAACCCTGGCAATTTTTAATACCTGATTCACAAGATCTTTTAAACGGGGTGCTCCCTGGAGTACGTCGGGTTTTCCACCACTTGTGAGAATACGATCAAACCCCAAGTTTATTATGACTTCTAAAGCAGCACTCTGATCAGGAACCATGTCAAATGCTGTAGGGGATGGAATTAAGGTGAATTAACACTTATATATTATCACGCAATCTACAAAGCGTTTTCCGAAATTTGAAAAAAATTGGGCGAATAAAACAGTCACTTTATACATGCTCAAAGATTGTACAATGGAAAGAAATATTATAAAATATTTCGCTATTGGATGAAAAGTTACAATCTGCTGCAAAATGAACTTGTGAACGGCGTACAAACAAATGTATAACGAGTTCAATGTTGTTGTGAAGCGTAATTTTTAAAATGGCCAGAAAAAGACAAATTTTGACTTTAATTATCCTAAGAAAGACCCATGTTAACGGACTTTCAGCCCAAAAGTAGCAAATTTCAGGAGAGCATTGTAAAACAGGCAGTTCACGTTCGGGTAAAACAGGCAGTTCACGTTTCACATGCATGCAAAATATGGTCATTTCACAAAAATTAAAGACACAGTTTTAAAATTGAGTATATCATGCCTTTCTTAAACCTTTTTACCGTACTTTGAAGTTGGCAAAACTTCAGCAAGAAAAGCATACCACTGAAACATGTTAAAAACCAACCGATAAATCAAATAAAATACATAATTGAAGTTCTACTCGGCGTACTCGCCCAGTCTTTGTTTTACTGGTCGCAGTAAATTCTCATTTCATAGACAAAAATTACCGGCAATCACGGCTCATGTATAGGGATGTAAATCACGTTTCACAACACAGAAGTCCATCATTATATGTACCTTTACCACCTTCAGTAATGCATTTTTTTTGACGGAATAGAAAATGTTATTAATTTTGCGTACTCCACTTTGTTGCCCGCGAGACGTGATTCGTCGAGCATATCAACAGTTGCATGTTGCGATACCTAATAAAAGCGCTAGACTGGAGTTACGAAAAGTTGATTCGTGAAGGTAATTTCTTCGGAGATTGCATTCATATTGGTCAATAGACCTTATGCATAATGACGTCACAAGGCTTAATGCCCGCCAGGAATGCTGGTCTTAGTAGTCATCGCCCTGGAAAATTAAAAAATTCAAAATGGCCACTATCGAAATGTTAAGACCAGCATTCCTCGCGGGCATCAAGCCTTGTGACGTCATTGTGCATAAGGTCTGTTTTCTATATTTATTGAAAAGTCAACACAAATTTTTTACCTCGATGAAATGTCACAGGAAGTGGCTTGATGATGCCTGTAACAAAAGGAAAAGGAATGAGACCATTTCTATGATTACATGCAAAATTTAATGGGTTCACATGAGCGCATGGAAGTCTCTTGTTCAAAAACCGGTTATAGCTAAACCCAGGGTTAATGTGAAATTCAAAGCATACTGGCCAGCAGCTTATTTATAAACTTGGAAATATTTTTTCAGAAACTTGTCTGGATCATCAGAAATTTAATTTTCTAACGTTTTGAAATAAACAGACGTACAGAAATATGTAAATCAAAGCAATGAGTTAAATTTAACCCAAGGTTAGCTCTAATCGTGCTTTGAACAACCGCGGCCCCAGGAGAAAAAGTATGCTGTTCTAATTATAGGATATTACAAAAGGAAAGGCGTATTGCTTTACACCTTATATACATGCATATTTGATCGTTACCTAACAATTTTTTGCAGCCAGGAACGTCGATTTCGCCTTGCCTATAAAGAAAAATACAATTTTGGAAACGGTTCTTTACAGCTTAATTAACTTACATTTTACCTTGCTCTCACTTTACCTAGAGGAAAGCAGGCCTCGAAATAAGTGCCGGTCACCGGTCACTGACCGGTAAAATTTCACAGTTTGACCGGAAAATACTATCGCCTGGCGGACATGCGTGACCGGTAAATTTTTTAATAAAAAAGTACGTTCAAAAATGGAGCAGATTTTTGATTTCCAATTTTCCAAAGAAGTGTACGTCCGTCTACGGTGCATGCTAATAAGGGCGGAGAAGTGACACATTTTGCCATACAGATACGATACTGACCGCAAGCATTGTGCCTATTAAAGGGCTGTTTTCCAGTTACGCGTTTTTCACACGTGCGACGGAAAAGTTTAAATCTTTTAAAATTTCATATAAGTGCAAATAACCTTAACAAATACACATTAAATCATACACAAAACTGAATGCTGTCCTTTTATAAATTTAGTTATTTCATAAGTAGGATGTAAAGCGATTTCAACTTTTACGTGCGTGTACGTACGTATGAAAAACGCGTAACTGGAATGCAGCCTAATTAAAGCATGCTCACAACTCAAACTACAGTTGTCATTAGCGATTTAATATATTAATTTGCTAGTAAACAATGTTAGTAATTAATGTTACTACTACAGCTTTGATAAACGCCATACTTCTACTTTGTATGCAAATACAAATAAAATACACAGTTGTTTCTAAAGTTACGAGTCACGCGAAAGATGAGGGGAAAAAAAGCTAAGGAGTGACAATGACCGGCATAAATTCCTCTGTGACCAGTAAATTTAGTGATCCACCGGTCATAATGACCGGTATAACATCCAGATTCATCCAGATTTATTTCGAGGCCTGCAGGAAAGTGACAAAAAAACAGGATTGTTTTCAAAATTTTTACTATAGAAATAGTAATTATGGATCCTGGTTAAAATATGGAAATCCAATTTCGCTAACCTCAAAGTTTCCATCAGTCTGATTCATCCGATGAAAAAAAGCTTTACAGTAAATGGATCCTGAGGATTGTTGGATGAAACAGACTGTAGTTGAAACTTTCAGATAATCCAATGTCCATACCATATATTTGCAATTTCCATATGATTAATCATATGGAAATTACATTGCAAATACATGGTATGGATTTTATTTTTTGAATGAAATGTCCTTTCTGATAGCTGTTAAATTATGAAACAGGGTAAATAAAATTTGACCGAACGTTTAATATGATTAGTGTCGCTAATTTCTTTTCGAACATTACTTTGTGAGAATACCACAAACAATGCCATCAGCTCCTGCATTTATAACTTGTTCACAATCTTCAATCATTACTTCAAACTCTGCTTCAGTATAGAGGAAATCTCCACCTCTTGGTCTGATCATAACAAAAACTGGCAGTGAAACATTACACTTGATCACTTTCAACAAACCTAAAAAGTACAAACATATAAATCACAATGCAATTTCCATTTCTTTCCCCCATTGTAATTTAATAAAATAAACGAAATGGAAATAATTCAACAAGAACTGAAATTCAAAAGAAATGAATCCTTAAACTACATTTAAACGCTGCGATTTGTTGTGTACGATTCGTATTCTAACGTAGGCCTATGTAATCAAATAAGCATGCGTAAAGTGGTTGCATTTCAAATTTTGCCATAATCTGAATGAAAAGGAATTGTGGCGTCAGCAGTAAATGTCATAATACGAATCGTACACGACAAATCGCAGCGTGTAAACGTAGCTTTAATCAATATCTCATTGAAAAAATGTAAAGCATTCGTAGCCGATGTACATGTAATATGCACGTCATGTAATATACATGCTTACGTACAGGGCAAGAAAAACCTGCAAACCAACAGAGTATTTTTGTGCTGAATCTGTGCATAAACGTATAGTGTTCCAGCTGATCATGGTTTTAAATTCAAGGAATAATGTCTGTCAACCACATGTTGTTGCGCCCATAGTGGGACATGGGTGTTAAGGTTTCCTTCAAATTTTCAATGCAAAATCTTCACTCAAACGAATTTCAAGCAGCTGTTCAACCTATTTTTCTGCTCGCCTATTTTTTCCACCCCTGCTTATGTAATAGGCAAGAACAACCATATGTGTATTTTACAGATCCGGCGACTGCTCATTACTTATCTCTTACATACAGTAATAATCATACAATGTCCTACCAATACTTGGTGTTGTGCCTCCCTCTGACAGATTGCAGCACAGTTCAATACGTTTGGCACCTAAAAATTAACCACAATCACTGGCAATTGTTTTCAAAATCCTTACTATGGAGACTCCATAATGATGGCCATTTCTTTAATATGGATATAGTATGGTAATAAACAACTACAGATCGTTCATCTTCCCCAATTAAGTAATAAAGCTATAACCATCATGAGTTTCTTGTGCAAATTGTAAACATGTACTAAATGTACCTGCATGTTACATAGTATAATAATACATTAATGGCCAAATGTAATATAGTGCTGACACCCTCTCTAAAACAAAGTACCTTTACAACCTACGTAAGTATCTTACACATCAGTACCTAAAATGTATACGCAGTAAAGGTTACTTAGCGCCAGTTAGAAAGAATAGCAAAGTCTCACACACTGGGAAATAGAAATCTTTACTACATTATATATAACTTCACGAAGTAGAACCAAAATAACCATGCCGTCAAGAAAAAGAACCATATCTCCAATCACTCGCGGGAGCACAGGACCGTACACAGCGGAGGGGGGGGGCAAGGGGCCGGGAAACGGCCCGCCCCCCCCCCCCCATAGAAAACTATATTTACATTTTAAGAATGTCATTATTAATTATTCTTTGGATATTTGGGACTTTTCTCGGCATATAGGCCTTACTGCTCCCCCCCCCGGTGGAAAAATCCTGCGGGCGCATGTCGTACCCAATACTTCACGTTATACTGAGGTAGTAACTAACTTTCTGACGAAAGGCTTAGCGCTTAATAAAAAAAACAAAAAAAAAACGAGTAAACGACCCAGTGAGTAACAGCTTTTACTGTCAATGCAATGGAAGTGTTGATAAAATATTGCATGAATTCATTTCCTCAAGTTGATCATTTCATACGAATTCAAATTTCTTTTTACTTCCTGTGCGTTCCCCATTGGTCAATCGGTTCTGAAACGAAATCTAATTGGCTCATCTAAAAGTAACAGGAAGTTGATCAATTTTCTATCAAATCAATTGATCAACTTGAGGAAAGGAATTGGTGCAACACTTCCACTGCATCGACAGTAACATGATTTAAATGGCTCTTACTACTTTTTCTCGTGTGATAACATTCAAGAATTTCCAACGCGACTATAATACGCGACTGTGGAATAACGTTAGTAGTAAAAACGCGTAACGGGTAAAAACACGTAATAAACTGACGGATTCTTATCATTTATAGACCCGGAGGCGGAGCGAGGGGGATTCGGTGAATGATATTTCCCGAAGGGCTTTGCCCCGAGATTGCCCCGAGGGAAATATCATCACTGAGGGTAATGTATCGACGAATTCCCCGAGAGGAGGGTCTACAAATGATATATTATACCGAAAGTTTAAGAACCCACTAAGTTCAGAATAAACTTTAAAACTATTAAGCGAATACAATTTTTAATTTCTGATGTATATACCTGTGTTTTTGACGTCTTCTCTTTAAAATATTTGAGCATGACTGTATTCTTTGGATCATTGAAGGTAACATATGTCACACGTCACACGTGAGATACTATAATATTCCACGGTGGATCTACCATGGGATACTATAGTAGTATCTCACGCTGCATTGCGAAATCATTAATTTGAGTGAAATACCGTAAAAAATCACATTGTCACGTGGTACAAATGATGTTTTTTCATTGGACAATTTGAGGTATAATATTTGACAATTATTCGCCGAAGGAGAGGTGATTAGGGACTGATCATAATTTACACGGGGGGGGGGGGGGGGGGGGAGGTGTAATTCAAAATTTTAAGGAATGATATTTTGTGACCCTGCTTTGCCATAACCCGGAAAAATAATGCCCCCCCCCTCCCTCTCTTATGTGAGAAGAACAAAATGTGAGAAGGCATGTATAAAACAATTAATTGAACTAAAAGAGCAGATCCCTCCTCGCCTTCATAAGCTGTCTAATATTTTATGAACCCCCCTTTTTCCTGGCTAAAAAATATGTGACCCCCCCCC